TAGACTGTACACTTCTGAATATCAAGAACTAGATGTTGTTATTAGTTGCTATAGAGTTGATTCTGATTCATGAATAGAAGTTATTCAATAAATGTTGACTAAATTAATACAATGTTCCCCCTCCACAAATATATTTTTGGTATTAGTCTTTTCCTTTGCTCCTACTACATTCCTAATGTATAATTACCTCAGACTTGGATTTCAATAGCCTCTAAGTTGATCATCTTTAGCAGCACTATTCAATAATGTAACCACTAACCACTTATGGCTACTGCACACTTGAAATGTGGCTAGCCCAAATTAAAATGAACTCTAAGTACAGAATACACACTGAATTTTGAAAATAAGAATGTAAAATATCTCATTAACAATTTTATATTGACTAGATATTAAAGTGATAAAATATTGGATATATTGGGTTAAATAAAGTGTTAAAATTAATTTCACCAGTTTCTTTTTCCCTTTATTATTTATTCTTAAATATTTGTTTATTTATTTATTGACTCATGGCATCCCATGTACATAGAGTAGAAGTGATTCATCAAGGTTTCAAGGCTCTGACTTCTCAGAAGCAGATCTCTAGGCCTGGCTTCTGCCTCTGGGTGAATTTGAATGGAGAACCTTTTGACTAGTAGTCAACTACTTAATTACTACCATGGTTCAGAGACACTAACTTACAACTTTTTTTTTTTTTTTTTACTGTCAGCTTCACTAAGGCCAGATTGCTCTGTCTGGCTCCCCAAACCTTCCATAGCCCTGTCACACTTGACTTATCCATCTTCACTTCTCATTCTTCCCAAGTAGTACCCCTTGTTAGTTCTATTACCAACCCATGGGACTTTTAATATTCTCCATCAACACCATAACTCAAATACATCAGTTCTTCTACTATCTTCTTGATCTGTTTTCCAAGCTACTTGAAACCTTTGAGCTTTGATACATAGTCTTTTTATTTAATATCTCCTTCCCCAGCAAAAGCCCTGTCTAAAATTGATGTCAGACTCTCCCCTCATTATTTACTGAAACTCACCCTCATGTCCCTCTAGTTATAGATTATATGGTTAAGTTATTGTTCAGTTATTGGGCATTTCATTGCCATCATCACTCAACTTAATTCCATAAACATTTTGAGCCCCCCTACAACAGGAACTAGAGTTTTGGTGTGGCGATGCTAGTTAATGCATTGGACTGCGAAGTCAGTTTGAACCACAAGGTCGGTGGTTTAAGCTCACCAGTTTCTCCTCAGAAACCCTATACAGGGTGATTATGAGTCAGAACTGACTTGACGGCACTCAACAACAACAACAATAGGAACTGGACTCCCAGTATGACACTGTAGGATTAGCAATGGACTTCAAATCACAAGGTCAGCTGTTCAAAGCCACCAGCTGCTCCTCAGAAACACTATTCAGGGTTGCTATTCAGAGTCAGAACTGATTTCATGGCACTCAACAACAACATCAATAGGAACTGGACTGCTAACTGCAAGGTTGGCAATTCAAACCTACCAGCCACTCATCAGAAATCCTATACAGGGTCATTATGGTTGGAACTGACTTAAGGAAACTAACAATAACAACAAGGATAGAAGCAAGGAATCCTGGTACAGCCATGGTTACTTGCTCGGTTGCTAACCTAAAGGCTGGCTGAATGCACCTGGTGGCCCCATGAGAGAAAGATCTGGTGATAGATCCCTATTGGGCAATTCTACTCTGCCACATGCAGTTGCTATGAGATGAAAATCTAATCAATGGATACCTAACAACTGACTGGGAACTGTCCCTACAGAAATACAACACACAGACTCATTCTAGTTGCCTTTCTTAACATCTGCCCACTGCACTGGACTGCAAAGTCAGTTTGATCTGCAAGGTCACTAGTTCAAGCTTACCAGCCACTCCTTGGAAACCCTATACAGGGTCACTATGAGTCGGAACCAATTTGACAGCATACGACAACAACCAAAGCACAGGATGTATTCTGTTTACATAAACTCACATTGTTGTTGCTATTAGGTGCCTTTGAGTCGTACAGACGCATAGCAACCTTATGCACAACAGAACGAATATACGAATATACCGTCCCATCCTACACTTAACCCCATTGCTGCTACCGCTGTGTCAATCCAACTCATTGGGGGGAGGGAGGGCTTCCTCTTTTTCGATGACCCTCCACTTTACCAAGCATGATGTCTTTCTCCAGGGACTAGTTGCTCCTGATAATATGTCCAAAGTATGAGAGATGAAGTCTGGCCATCCTTGCTTCTAAGGAGTATTCTGGCTGTACTTTTTCCAATACAGATTGGTTTGTACTTCTGGCAGTCCATGGTACTTTTAGTATTCTCCTTCAACACCAAAATTCAAATGCATCAATTCTTTAACTGTCTTCCTTATTTATCGTCCAACTTTCACATGTATATGATGCTATTGAATATACCATGGGTTGGATCAGGTGCACCTTTGTCCACAAACTGACATCTTTCCTTTTGACCACTTTAAAGAGGTCTTGTGCAGCAGATTTGCTTAATGTAATATGTTGTTTGATTTTTGACTACTGCTTCCATAAGTGTTGATGATTGATCCAAGGAAAATGAAGTCTTTGGCAACTTCAATGTTTTCTCCATTTATCTTGATATTGTTTCTTGGTCCACTGGTGAGGATTTTTTGTTTTCCTTACATTAAGATACAACTCATACCCACAACTGTAGTCTTTTATCTTCATCAGTATTTTAAGTCCTCTTTACTTTCAGCAAGCAAGGTTATTTCATCTCCATATCACAGGTAGCTAATGAGCTATGCCACTCCTGATGCCATGTTCTTCTTCATATAATCGGCATCTTGGATTATTTGCTCAGCATACAGATTGAGTAAGTATGGTAAAAGAATACAACCTTGCTGCTCACCTTTCTTAATTTTAAATCATTCAGTGTTCCCACGTTCTGTTCTAACAACTGCTTCTTGGTCCACCTGACATCAGCAATGATATCCCTCGTTCCATGTCCTCTTCTGAATGTGGCTTGAACTTCTGGCAGTTTCCTGTCAATAAACTGTTGGAGCGGTTTTTAATTATCTTTAGCAAAGTTTTACTTACATGCAATATTAATGATACTGTCCAATGATTTCCACATTCTGTTGGGTCATGTATATTGTTGTTGTTGTCAAGTGCTGTCATATCGATTCCGACCCATAGCAACCCTGTGTAGGGTTTCCAAGGAGTAGCTGGTGAGCTTGAACCACCGACCTTGCAGATCAAACGATTTTCTAGTCTGACGCTTTAGCCCACAGCACCACACCAGGACTCCCATGTACGTTGTTGTTAAGTACAGTGGAGTCGGTTTCGACTCATAGCGACCCTGTACAGGGTTTCCGAGGCTGTAAATCTTTATGGGAGCAGAACGCCTCATCTTTCTCCCGCGGAACC